ATCTCATAACCGAGAGAGAGAGACAGAGAAAGAGGGGTGGAAATGGGTATGGGCTTAGGGGGGTTAATATGCATATATGGTGAGGGATAAAATGGATATCAAAAGGGTAAAATAAGATTTTTATATTTAGTTTTTGTTAAAAGGTGGTCAAAAGGATTTATTTATATATTTTTAAAATTTTATGAATTAATACGTACATTTTTAAAATATATAGACTAATTCTGCACGAACGCAGGAAAGATTTTTTGCACTCAACCCAATATAAGTCGACAAAACAACTACTTGTGGTTGGTGAGGGAATATATTTTATTGTTTTTACTTATTACGTTATCAAATCAACCAATGATTTGTTGTGGAATATGGTTCTATCCAATTAAAATATTCAACAGAATTTACTACTACTACTTCTTTTTTGCACCCACCTACCCACGTCACAAACACCGACTGGTCTGATCAACTGACATACCTGCTTATACATATGCATATTTACCAAAAGCATGCAAGCCACACCATAAACGAGAGCTCTGTACCACCCTATAGAGCTATAGCTATAAAGTCAGTTCCAATTAAGGAAAAATAGTATAATTAATATTTAAATAATAAAAAATGTAATAAAATAATTTAAAATAATTTTTTGTGATGAATTTGTTCTTAATTACAACAAATTAATATTTTTAAAGAATTATTTGTAAAAGAGTAATATAGTCCAGGTTTTTCTTTTTTCTATTTTTTTTTTCACTCAACCCTACTTTTTATTAGCACCACCAATCAACTTATGTTTTTAACGAAGTTAGAGTGGATATTCAAGGCTCAAGAATGACCCCATTTAGATTTAAAACGAAGAAATTATGCCTGTTACAAAGCCGTATTTATTTACAATCAATATAGGCGTTTTGCAATAATGGAGACAGAATCAAGTTAAAAAATGATAAGATAAAAGAATGTTTTTGAACAAAATAATAGATGTAAAGACTTTATATTGATTGATAATTTTTTATTTTATTATATTTTAAGCAAGATTTTTATAAAAAATTGAAGAGAAAATTGATGTATCTTAAGTAAAACAATTATACAAATTAAAGAAAATAAAGTTGGTCAGTAGCAATGAGAAAGTCACATGTTTAAAAGGAAAAAACAATCTCTCTGCATGTAGAAATACAGTCTAGTATGTTTTAATTGTTCTTATGATCCTATAATGACGAGAGTATAGTCTGCGCCGCCCTTGCTTTCGAGGGCCCAAACTTGGAATCAAATTGTTGTGATGGAGGCATGGAATTGAATAAGAACTTTGTCATGAAAAATCCGAAATTTAAATAGTGGCATGCAAGTTGATCTTTTGCTTACTATTCCATTGCCTTCGGAGATTCTGAGATAATCCCTTTGAGGGGGGGGATGTGTGGGGCGCGGCGGGGGCATATATATTATGAAAGGTTCTTCTTCCTCTTCACTCTTAAGTTGCAAGGTGCTTGTGCTAGAATGTTATTGTACTCTCGTGACAAGAAAAATACTTTTTTGACCTATCTGACGTGAAAGAGGTAGGATTCATCACTCTTGTGAGTGATTTAGTCACAATAGCAACTCGAAAAACACTGCTCTTATGATAATGGTCATCAAAGAATATGATGACAAAAATATTACTCCTTCCATCTCAAAATATCTTGAAAATTGTGACTCACATTTATTTTGAGGCAGGGGTAGTAGTTACTAGACTTTTGATACAAATGACAACTCTCCACACTATGACACTCTTGCATGTGTGATGTGTCTCATCAGTGTGTTCACCGTTCTTAAAACTTCTTTTTTTCTTTCTATTATTATGCTATATATATTGCAATGTTTGAGGAATTTATACAGAAACCATCTTCTGTATAAAAAAGAAAGCTAATTAAACAAGTATTAGACTGTCATTATTCGATCTAATCTTCATCTTATAATTATAAATATAAAAATCTTATATAGTTTTATTAACAAAAATAGGGATATTAATTAGAATGAGTACGTAGTCACAAGTAATAACCTTTTCCATCTTTATTCTCACCAAAGCCTTTTGGACGTGAAAGAAAAATACAGTACTTGGTTAGAAAGATTCCTTTGCTAAAGGTATGAGTTGGTAGGTTTCTATGGCGTTAGCATTCCTTGTCTATATGCTTTAAGATGCCATGTTGTTGTTTCACTTTAATAGCATGATTTTGTGCCTACGTGTGGACATGTTACTCTTATCATTGATTTTGTCTACATGAGTAGATTTATTTTTATGGCATTGCGTTCCTTGGTTATATGTATTGAATTTCCATGCTAATATAGAGACCATTTCCTTTTCGCGTGATATATGGTATCTATACGGGGTTCCTTTTTGGGTTCATTTCAAGAGAGCACTGGTTAGGTGTTATGTTCATTTCGTTTATGCGTAGTGTGCATGCAGGCTTTTGTAGTGGGTTGCCTTGTGGGATTCCTCGGGAGGGAGTTGTCACATTTTGTTTTGTCATGGGTTGTCCACTTCCCTAAGGTGGGAAATTTTTTTCATTTTTCCTGTTTGTCGTTGGCACTCTTGGGAGAGCAAGGCATTTCCTCGTTTTCCTTAGCTAGTGTTTGGGACTTCACAGTGGGTGAGTCTCATTGTTTCATTTGCATTGTGTATGGTCACAGGCTAGTTGATCTGTGGGATCACCATTTTTTTGTCTCGAGTCCTTGGTGAGGATTTGATTGATTCTGGTCAACTTACTTCCATATAGGGGTGAAGTCTTTGACCTTTGTGTCTTTCGTTCCAGAGATGGAGTTGGTGGCACTGTCCTTGTTGGGATTGGTGGTTTTCATTTCTTATTTTTCCTTTAGAGAGTTTTAGCCATGGTTGCTAGTGGGTTTGTTGTGCTCGGTGAGAGTGGGGTTTGATTTTAGGTCACTTTACGGGGACTTGTGTCCGTATCATTGAGGATTCATTTGATTCATTGACTGAGCATGATGTTTCTTTAAGGTTGTCTTTTAGAGATTTGTTGGAGTTTTGGAGTCTTGGATGTGACTGATTCTTAGGAGATATTTCGAAGGATCGCATTTGGATGTGGTTATTTGTGGAGTCTTTTTGTTCTAGCTATGGCTAGATTTGGGTTAAAGGATCGTGATCTTGGTAGTTGTTTTATGGAATGGTGATAAGGATTGATATGAGTAGAAAGGTATATATTTTGAGGTATTTTGTTCTAGTTTGGTGTTGTCAAGTATAGTTTTGAGAGATTTAGATTCTGATTGTTGTCCAGGTGGATGTGTAGTATTCTGATCTTATCAAGATATTTGTGATAGGGATTCTTATTGGGATTTTGACGTGATACTTATGATTGAGGTATTTGTTAAGATTTGTGAACCTGATGATAGTAATCGAGGTGTTTGTTTGTTGATATTCTCATATGAGAGTCATCTTTAGAGTTCAACCTGAAGACAAGAATGACATGATTGTTTGAACCAAATTGACAGAAGATATGTTCTAATCAACCATTTCTCTTAAATCAATTTTGTTCGTCTAGATTGTCGGGTCAAGGGTCCGATTGTTTTGTTGGGTAGTAATAGTGGGTGTGTAGGCTTTTTTTTTTTTCTTTTTTTTTTTTTTTTTTTTTTTTTTTTACCACTAGAGAGGGGAATTTTCCTTCTAAAAACTTGGTGTCTCTATGGTTAAGGAATTTCATCAAACACTTATCACAGATTAGGGTTTCAAGCATTTGGCTTGCGTTATGTATTTCTTAAGCTTGATGTGGTGTATTCTTCGATTCAGAAAAATTATGCAAGTGTCAATAAAAGAAGAACCAATTCACCCCCTCCCCCTCTTGGTTCATCAATAGTACTTTTAACTTTCCAATAGGGACATTTCTTTTGGATAACCAAAATTGGAAAGGTGGACATTTTTTTGGAAGAGAAGTAATTCATTTGACTTTTCACATATTTCAAAAAATTATTTCAATCCAATGATTAAATATGAAGAGTTCATAACTCTTCTCATGAGAGGTTCTTTTAGGAGCATTACTCTCATGAGAAGAGTCACGTGACTCTTTAACACTTCTATATTGAAAGATGTACTTTTTCTTTTCCATATTAGTGGTGCATCTTTCCTTTTTTGAATGTCTTAAAATACTTGTCCCACTTCTAAAAATTAATGCAAGTTAAATACATCTTTCCATAAAAACCATTAAAACTTTCAAAATTTTCCAACTTTATTTTATATATATATATATATTAAAATTTGAGAGGACAACTTGGTCAATTTAAAAGGGGGACAATGCTTGAATGTGTTCCCTTTATGGCACGGAGGAGTATCCCAAAAAAAAATTCGTTTTTGGGAACCAACTTTTTAAGTGGATGACTTTTACCATTTATTTTTTATTTTATTAGAAGTGAATAAATTAACAAATTTATCCACAGTGAGTTCACATAGATGTGATGATTTATTTTTTATAAGTTTAATGTAAGAAGGTTAAATTGGTAATGTTACACCCAAAAAAAAAAAAAATAGTACCTCGACTTTCCAATTGAAACATTTATTTTAGGTCAGCCAAAAATAAAAAGGTGGACATTTTGTAATGGAGCAATCTTACCATTGCACCAAGTCCAACCACTAAATAGAAGTTTTCAATAATCTTGGGCACACACTGCTCTAAAGCATGTTTACAAAATGAAGAAATGGTGGCAGTGAATCTGCTCCAAACAATCACTAGCTTTTCCAAAGAAATTGGCTACTACTATTTAAGTGCAGTACCCAATGTATGCTCCATCCAAACATGATTTTGGAGAGGAAACTAGCTACTGCACTCAAAACTGAAACCCAAGCGAACTAGATCTCCAAAACTGAAGCTTCGCTACATCAGAGAGTTCCTATAACTTCTCTTTTTGGTTCTTTCAAGTCTCTATGGATAGATGAATAAAAGAAAAAATATAATAGATAGTATGATCAAGTTTCTATAATTTATAGCTGCCAGAACGTGACCTAATCCACCGCACGTTATCAAGATAGAGAGAAAAAATGGATTGAAAGAAAATATATATGCAAAATTCTCACTTCAGTAGAGCTCACTTAAAGTGAATGCCATCATCGAAATAGTCAGCTTAATCGACACACTTATGGTGGAAAGAGAGATCAAAGAAATATATCAATGGTAATAACTTATTGGCTATAATGCCCATAAATAAGTAACTCGAGAATCTACAATTCTCTTGAAAAAGGGGTCATTTTCAAGGATTCCAGAACAAGAAGCCATCTTCAGAGCCACATTGCTAGAGAACTGTTTGTTACTATACTTTGCCTTCGAGATCAAAAACCTTACCATTTGAATGCAAGGAAAAACCGGATTCACTGCCACCATTTCTTCTCAGACAAAGATATAAGCTGCAAAAAAACGAACGTGCTAAACAAAATTAACATTTAGCCACGAGAAGGAAAGCATTAAAGAACATATTACATAGAAGACAAGGGATTATTATCTGTCGAATAGAAATTTGAACGTTCGTGGGAGAATCGATTGATCCCCATAGAGGACCACAGCAAAATTGAAGAGCAATGCACTTCCCAGAAAATTCATCTTGCCTGAAATTCTCCATTATACTTTTTCATTTCAAAATTTAAAAATTGAATGAAATCTAATTCCAAATTTTGATGGACGTTATCCTGAAATTGAGTGTTGCCACTAATCTTTCTGGTTGAAGTTGAATAACGTGTGAGATATAGCTTACTACAGAAAAGCTTTTATGTTCATGGTAAGCTTGATCCAAGAAAGACACGATAACTTCTCAACATTATCTCTAACAATTCCTATGCACTAAATGAAGTACTTTCATAACATGCATTTTATCAAATCTATTTTTCTGTGTCTTCCTAAAGGTGAAAAGGAAACAGACCTAAAACCAGCTGACAGAGTGGCAACCCAATGCCCGAACTCCATGCATCAGGTTAGGATAAATGAGGGCATGAAACAAGATAATTTATTATAATAGAAGAAGAGTTAAAGGCTTAGATGGATGAGGATTCTTTCAAGCATGAGTGGATAAAATCCGGAAACTTTGTGAGTAGTTTCCAAGCATTTTCGGAAGATTGACTTAAGAGGACTTCTTAAACCTGATATTCTTTGAATAGAAACGATGTTCATCCATTAGAGCACCAGTAAAGACTGATTTTAGTAAGAGCAGGAACAAAGCTGAAGAGGTTGAATGAAGAGAGATAACAGGGTAACTCCTCTCTTGAAGCTCCCCGAGACTAGCAGCAAAGAAGGGGAGGCATAGACGGGACTTCAAATTACTAGGAAGGTGAGCTAGTGGCAGTAAAAGAAAACAAGTTAACTGAAGAACTTTTGAGTTGATTCAATCGGCAGCTTGCTTGCCCAAGAAATTGAATGGGATTTCGGAGCAAGCCATTTATTATTTAAGCTGTGTATTTTGTTTTTATAAGTATTATTTAAGCCGCGTATTAACACCAATCGAGCAAAAATATACACTGATTGATAAATTATGTTAGACTTTGAAAGCCTTCCCTAAACTAGTCATCATTTCAAGTGCACCTCCTCCTGAAGGACCTATACTGACCGGACCTGGGGCAGACATACCATACACGACTAATTTCCAAATGAGAAATATCTCTCCAGGCTCCAACTACTAATGAATGGAGACAAAGTTGAAGGACCATAAATGGCATTTCGATCAATAAACATAAAGAAAAACCAATAGAAGCTTACCTTGGAAGAAACGATTCCATAATAATACGAGGTTAACATGCAGCCCAACATGGACAGGTTGAAATATGCAAACTAAAATTAGAGCAGAATGGGTTTAATGGGAAAAAGAGACTCTACGTTAACCAAAAGTAGAGCAGTGGGGCTGCATCAGTAACAAAGAACTTCATAGTTTGTTTGACCAAATGAACAATTTTCTGGATGATAATGGATTCAAAATATACCATCCCAAATATGGTCGATATAAAACAGAGTATAAATTTCCAGCAATGGAACTTAAAATTCTCGCTTTTTGACATGATATTTAACATGTCCTACTCAAGGAAAGATCTTCGAAGAAATTAGAATGTTGGGCGTTAAAGAAGAAACATTAACAATTAATTCATGTAAATGAAATGAGAATACTGATATGGATGATTTAAATGATTAGAAGATATAAGGTCAATAATTGATGTGTGAGGGAGAAATTAGGAATCATATCTATCAGTGAAAAATTAAAAGAAAGTAGACACGCAACAAAGACCCCTGGATGCACTGATATGAAAAATAAGATTAATTTGCATAAAATGTAAAAGACGAGGAGACCAACCAAAATTAAAATAGAGTAACTAGAAATGAATTAAAAATAAATAAATAAATATAATAGGTGAAATGGTTTGTAGTAGACAAGAAAGAAAAATAAAATTCATGTGACCGACTCTGCTCATGTGGGATGAAGGCATGGATGATGATGAATTCCGAAGAAAGCAATGTTAAAATAAAATTGCATGGTTCGATTGATCGAACCAAGTATCGATCAATCGATATATGGCCTATAGTAGCCTTCAATTGATTGAAGTACCCTATCCTTTTCCCATTAGGATTTTGTTTAGGGAAAGTCTGAAAACATGTTTCTGCAGTTCAGAAGGGATTTTTATGGATCAAAAAAATGATATGCATGAAACGCTAATTGAATGAATGTATAAACCCGAAGGGCGAGTGCATATTTGAGATTTGAATTTACCTTTTTGTCCCTGATTGTAGCTTTGTCTTCCAAATATGCCCTTGGACGAGAGGTCACTAACTCACTCTTAAAAATCTATCTAAAATTCAGATAAAAGTACAGACTCAAGATTCTGACAGAAGTCCTATTGGCCTAACAAGGAGCTTTCAAAAAATATGCAATTATCAAAATGGAGCTAGAAGATTCAGATGCCTTTGGTAAAAAATTAATATGATAACTAGCGATGGGAAAGCCAATATATATATATATATATATATATATATATATATATATAGAAACAACTCACAAACAAATAATTAGTAACAAAAAGATGTCCTTTTGGCTCAAAAATTTGCAAAAAAGCATAGTCAAATAATGACAGAACTAATAGAGTTCCTAACTATAAACAAGATTGGGCTTGGCATAATAAAACAAATCGTTATAGTGAAAATTTACATAGAATACCTTGCTAAGGTACCCATTTATTCATGAGGAGCATCATCAACAACCCAAAATTCAATCGTAAAGCGTCAAAACCTTTACACCAAAGGCATATACATGGGCAACCAAAAGTAGATACCTAAACAAACTACCAAAATATCAAAAATACCAAAAAGGGATCTATCCTTATCTATTCTTGACCTTATATATAATGTAGTTGTAGATCATGTGCGATGCATGTGCATTTGGTCCTGTTCTGATCCTCAACTATTATAGATCAAAAAATTTATTAAGCATAGCAAATTCTGAGAAAAACAAAATCACTTTGACAGAAAACAATGCCTTCAGTAAGGGTACTTGATTTGCTAGACAATAACACTGAACAAATCCTATACTGACGAGATTACCATATAATACTTGTTGGTGTTATTCTATATTACTTCTCGGAGAATGTGGAATATGAGATGAGATATTCAGAAACTTCTAAGCTTCTGTAAGAGCATATTGCATACATGGAAATGGTGAAAAAGAATGCCCTTTCTAAACATCAATTCCTGGGTGGCATAATTTATATTTAACTACGACAACTACAATACCACATAACAACTTGGCCAGCAATTGGATGGAGTTGCTAATGGTCCTCCAACTTTGAGCCAGTTCAGTCTCAATCCAAACTCATAAAGTTTGATTATGGCATAGGCTTTGTTATATTAAGTTACTTGGTAAAGGTTTAGAAAGACCAGTGAGGCTAGAATTTTATCTTCCATCCCAATCCACCATGACATGCAGAACCACTAACTAAAACCTCACAGGATTTTGATGAGTTCTACTGTTCTAGAAAACATTATTAAGAAGTGTGGCGTGTATGGTATACTATATATAAGACATATAAGCATTATACGTGCATACACACAAGACATAATAATAACACCAACCTGACGAGCAACCTGGGCTATTCGCCGACTTTCTCGAGATGAATCAATTGTTGAGCCAAGCTTTTGTGGCTCCAGAGAACCATTTTGTTTGTCTTCGATCTCTCTCTCCAAAGTACTCTTTACAGGAGAGGTATTCCTGTCAGGGCTGCTAAAAGAGTCTTTCTTTCGTTTCCTTTGGAATGTGTACTTGATGATCCTATCATTTACTGGTTGACTAGAAATCCCATTAGCTTTATCAGAAGCTTTTGATTCTGAGTCTACTGATGGCACATCAAGTTTCTCAAGATCTATTTTAGAAACCAGAACCCCTGAACTCTCTGCACATCCATTTTCCTGTCCTGTCGGCACCAGTTTATCTATCAATGCCTCATCCCTGTCTATTATGTTTTGACCACTACAAGCTTTAACAAACTCTGCTTCACTTTCAGTAACTCCAGAAAATCCTGACGGGATGCCTGTTTCAGTTGTATCTGAGGATAATAATGGGCCCATCTTAGAATGCTCTTTGCCAGATTGAGCATTGTTATCAATTGAACTTGGGTGAATTTTGGAGAAAGATATATCAGATGCTTGATCTCTCCCTGTGACCAGATCAGAAAGGTACCTGCATGATGGAGTTGTAATTTTCTTGTACCTGGTAGCTCTCTTCCTTTTTCTATGGGAACGTGCAACAGACTGAACTTGGTAGCAGCTGTTATCTGAATGCACTACTTTCTTCTCTGTAGTACATGTATTGTCAGCCTTGTGAGTGGGTATTGTACAGACCCCTTTGCCTTCTTGATACTCCCTGTCACTTGCTTCATTCTGTATATCGTCTATTTCTCTAGAGAAAGACAATTCTTCATCCAACAGGTTCCTTCCAAATGCACGAATTCTTTGAGTGCAACCATTCCTGTACAGCTCTGGCTCCTTGCTTCTCATTATTATAGAGGGTAAATCATGGCTACAAACACAGGTTTTCTCCATACAAGAATCATTTGTAATACAGCACTTGTGGCCTTCCTTTCTCCAATCCAAAGTTGAATTTTCCATTTTAGAAGCTCTGATATATTCAAGTTTTGACTCTGAAGGAAGGAATATAGCAGACTGACAAGTATTTACTCTGTTCTCCAGTGCGGTTTCTTCGGGAATGGCATCACATTCATCCAAATGTCGTAGCTTGTTATTTCTCACCTTCTCCAATTCAGCCTGGACTTCACTCAACTCTTCTCTGAGGTCTCTTACTATATCCTCAGCTTCCTGAAGTTGTGCTTCGAGCTCTTCAATCTTACTCCGTTGACTCAATGATTTCATCTCCGCTTCACTAATCTGTAAATTGGGCATGATTTTTCAACATCATAGTTTAACAGAAGTAGCATAATAAAAGAAGTATATCAAAATAAAGAGCAGAATATATTTAAAATTTTGAACAATGTGATAATATTTGGTTATGTTGTCAGTTGCTTCGCTAGTATTGCTTTTTAAAAATACTGATTTAAAGGTGAAAAAGTAAGGGTCATCAAACCCACTTAACTGTTTAAAGAAGTGACAGAAAAGTTATACTTTAGCCAATAAAAGTTACATGATTGAATTATGAAAAATAAAAAAAATAAAAAATAAGTTACATGATTGATCCAGAAAAAAAAAAAAAAAGGCAGCTTTCCGAATGTCAGAGTGCCTAAATTTCCTGGTCCAATTCAGTGGTTTTGACTTTGTGCTGACTACAGGAACAATGCTTTGAAGTTCAACAAACTTCAACAAATTAATTCAAATTCAAGAGCAGATGAACCTCAAACAGAACTAGAAGTTAAAACTTGTCAACCTACATTAAAAATTCTTATAGTTAGCCCAAATTAAAATGGAAATCCTTGACCAGGAGCTTCACCTGCAACATAGCAACCAGCCCTATCATCATTAAAAGAAATTCTGCCTATCATTATGGTATCCTATTATTACCTTGGAAAAATGATCCAAGTGTACGATGAATTCAATTGATGACTGCCTAGTCTAGTACTGGACCTAATTTGCAACTTGGAGGCTCAAAGTGTGCTATTTTATATCAAAAGACTTGCGAATCTGTATTATTAGGCACCATTTCTCCTTAAGCATGAAACAAGCAAGAAACAGAACTAAACTGCCACTGCATTTGTTACTATGGTACAGTATGACTTCGGGTTAGTAGAGTGTAATTCCAAGTTACTACTTCTTGAGTGAACAATATATTGACAGAAAAATCTCTGCTATATCTCAGTAAATTAATTATCTGTCTTTCTTCTAAAGATAGTTATTCCATGTGTGAAATCAATGGAAGGGCTTAGAGAGCTCACCAACAAGTCTTCAAGGATAGTTGTCATTTTATTAGGAATATAAAAATGTATAAAAAAGTGTAACTCCTAAAAGAAATAAGTGGAAGAGCTTGGGGATTCTTTCACTAAGGCCCCAAATAAAAAACATTTAATTCTATATCTTCTTCTTCTAAACGCTTAATACTGTAAGTCTTATGTAAAACCAACGGATAAGATAGAGGAGTTCAGGTCAAACAATTCTTCACCTTCTTACTCTTCTCTAATGATGAATTTGGATGTGAACTAGCAAATTGTTATCCCATATGTCAAATCAGTAGAGCAACTTGAGAATACTTTCACTAAGATACCAATCAAAACAAATTTCAATAAAGTTATAAGATGCTGCACACAGTTGTCTCGAGTTTTTTTTTTTCAATCTCTTTATGTGAATAATGACAGCAGCAAAGCATCTCTCATCTTCAAGGAAGTTTGTTCTGTTTGGCAATAGAAATGTAAAACAATATTGTTATTTCATATGTGAACCAAAGTAACCTATTTTGTATGGATTCAAATATGTATATTAGGTGCAGTTGTGTGTAAAAGGGTCAGACCGCACTGAATCCCAAATTTTAGGACACAGGTACATGACTTCAAAAGGGTCCAAAAGTTGAGTACGAATGCCTAGACACAACCTGCACAAGTAAATACATTATATGTTATATAACTCAAGATATAATTATTCCAATATCTAATGAATTAGAATTTTAAATAAAGGGGATGTTTTAAGAAGTACAAAATCTTCTATACTATTAAATTTGAACTTTTTTCTTCTTCCATCATCACTTGTAAAGTATCTGTATGTCCGATTTGAGTTAAGGTACACCCGTGCATATTTTTTGTCATGTCAACAAGGGTACGTCAAGGAGAATAGAGGGAGTAATCCTTGGAGAAAATATATATTCAAGGCCAATCACATATTGAGAGAACTCATAAGTATGTTTAGATCTGTGTATCCATTAATTATTTACTCCCGTTAAATGCAGGCCACTTAATATGTCATAAAATGTTAGTTTTCTGCATCAGGAAAAGCATCACCAGTTAACAATTCTAATGAGAATAACATAGAATGTTAGAAATACTTGAGACAAGGAAATGTCCAAAGATAATCGCACGACCACAACTAGCAAAATTGCGTAGTCAAGGTACTTCAAATACAAATTTGGAGATTCTACAGGAAAAAAAGAGACCTTTGATGTTACTTTGCGCTTCCCATAACACCAAACATTTAAAATTGAAACCACAAATCTAGAATATTTCTTCCGTGTCATTATGCATTTTTCTGGTACTGTTCGAATTGATTTCAAAACTAATTATTTTGCTTTTGGAATCAAGGGTCCCTGTATGCTATAACCACAAAATCAATTGAAAGTCTCAACAAAAAATTGACTTGGGCACGCACTATCCACATGAATTGTTGAACATTTTAATAATCACACAACTGCTGTTAAATTAGTGAATATAAATTTTTTAACAAGTACCATATTGCTGGTCAATGTGTAAGAGAGAGTCACATTCCAGCAAAACTAGTGATAATGTGAGGAAAATGTACATAAACACTTAATAAATTTTTTATTCCTGTAATTTTTTAGGGCTAATTTTCCTTAAAAATTGAAGCCAGAAAGGTACGACTGAATGGTGGACAAAGGAAAAAGAACGAGTTGTAAATGCCATAGGGGCTGCAAAAACTGCATTACAGCTTAAAACAGCAAATATAACCTGCCAAGACAAGCAAAGTTAAACTAAACCAAATTGTAATCCTTGACCCAATGCAATATCACTAAAGAATTTCCACTTGATCAATGAGGAAAATGAAAGATAATCTTCCATAACATTCTCCACATCCACCATTTTGAAGCCCACAATAAGAGGGTCAGTTTTAAAAAGGGTAAATTTTATATCTTACCCTGTAACAAACATGATCTCCCTAAATTGATCCTATTATAGATGAAAACAGGTGCCATCATTGAGACAGTACTGGATGTCTAAAATAAAAAATAAAAAAAATTTCAATTTCATGATTTTCATCAAATGTCACAAAGAAAAGAGCACAATTGCATTATGAAGAAACTTCTTTTAATTAAAGAACGACCAAAACAACATAAAATCTATCAATCAGAATGAATGCTAAATAGTTTATGGACTTTTAAGTGACATAAACAACAAAATATAACTCAAAACCTCCCAGCCAAATTAATTGAAGATCAAAGAAGTAATAGATCATCATCAAACAGCAGTTCACATCAGACCTAGAGTACAAAACATCAATCGCACTAAAACCTAGATAATTATATGCACACACAAACACACACACTAAGAATAGTAATACAAATTCTAAATCAAAATTAAAACCAAACCCAATTGAGACAAAAAAAAAAAAAAAAAAAAAAAGGCAATTTACCTTAGAATCCATCATCTGTTTGAGGCGAAGGAGCATCTGAAGCGCCTCTTGTTTGGTGACACGGAGGTCGTGCTCAAACCGGAGCGCTTTTCGCTCCGATGCCATAATCCGAGCCGCCGCCTCTTTGGCCATATTCAAGATTATATCGGCGTACGCCTTCTTCAAAGCCGTCAATCTCTGCAGAAAAAAATACAACCACCAAAAAAAATTACATTACAATCCATTACCAAAATACCCACTCAACACCTATAGTGTGTGTATATGTAGGGAGAGGATCAAAATCGATCCCCATTTAACAAAGACCAACAGAAGAAACCGTTAAAAGGGGGAAAAATCAGAGGGTGGTTGGGGGCGGTGTGGGTCAGATTCCGGTTAGGGGTGGTGGTGGGGAAGAATTGCTTACCTCGTCGGATTCCATTTCTTTGTACCTTAAATGGGTCGAAGTGTGTTTTGTGACTTAGGACCGAGGTCTTCTGGAGAGAGAATGCGAGGTTGTTTCTCTTTCCCACTTCTTCTACAAGAAAGCTGTCTGTTATGAACTGAATGAATGTTCTGTTGCGTTTGTTACCATATTGCCCTTATAAATTACTCATAATCACGAACGGACCATACTAATTACGAAGTCACAAATCTGCGACACCAAAACGATTTCGGTAGTTTCCGCCAAATAAAGTGGTCCCACAAGACCAGCTGGGATGACGTGGCTGTGGCGGAGAGCTCCACGTCTAAGCTTTTCAATTGCATGATGCCAAGAAGTGGGTTTGATTGGGCATGTCTTGACGTGATTGAGGGTCTATGTGGTTCGGCATAACAGATTAGGGTTTCCTTGCTAACTATTTGAAACTTTGCGAATATGTAATAAACACTTTTAATAATTGAGAGAGATACTGGGCTACCTTTGAAAATGGCGGTAAAACTACACAAAAATAAAAAAAATTGTGACCAAAATTAGTGTATAGTGTATATAGAATGTAGCTAGAAAATAAATACCATTCACAAACCAAACCAAAATCAAATATACGTAGTATATATGGAGTACCATTCATGTTTTAATCAATCAGATTATGTTAATAACATATATATCATTACCGTTTCTTAATAAAATATTGAATTACAAAAAGGTGATCTTTAATAAAAATTCAATTTCAAAAAGTTCAATAGAATGTGATTGATTATTAGATTATACACGACGAAAAAATATAAATATATATAATAACATTTAGTAGATTATCTTACATTTTTAATTTGACGCAAGTACTTGTTTTAGACTTAAAATAATTGTAATGCCCTCGTGTAATAGGTAAAAATGAAGGCCAAATAAAATGATTGTTTTATCCAATTATCAAAAAATAATTTAAGAAAGCTTGCAAGAGCAAGTTGCTTAAACCAAATATATATATATATAGTAATAAATAAAAATTACAAAAAGGAATAGCAACGGGTTATGGGAGGGAGGGAGAAAGAGAGAGAGAGAGAGAGAGAGAGAGTAAAGGGTTGGGAGGGGGGTTTTATATACGGATTTGGATCATCTAAGTTAAATATTGTCCGAATTATCTTACATTGAATTCGCAATTAATTGACACGAAAGTTTAAATTTTTGATGTGTTTTGAATTAAGGAAAATTTACCACACTCTCTAATTACGAAAATATTATTCTCTTCAATTGTGAATTTATATACATTAAATATTTGAGAGTTAATATGAAAATAATGGCTCATTCTATTTCTTCGTACTTATTCTAGCATTTACATTTTTTTTGCTTGAATCTATGTAGTGGGAATCCAACACAAGTACTTTTTTTCGATTATTAATCCAAAATGGCCTGGGGTGCCATATGTCCCAGGTTCAAGCCCGTCCATTCCCATTATATTTTCTGACTGAAATTGGTGCAGAGGTGTGGGGCCGTCGACAACATCCCCAAATTTGCCCTGCCTAGGGGAGTTCCGGGTGCCAATAAAAAAAAAAAAAAGTATTTCTTTTTAATATTATTTAAATTTTATATTAGAAAAGAGCATGTTAATAAAACATCGGACCCTGCCTAGGAGAGTTCCAGGTGCCAATCAAACAAAAAAAAAATAAATATTTCTTTTTAATATTATTTAAATTTTATATTAGAAAAGAGCAAGTTAATAGAACATTACTCCCATTCTCTTGTGAACCTATTTCGCATTATATTATACTTTAACGGATTCATTACATTTTAAGTATTTATCTCCCATCCTCTTATTTACTCTTCAAATTCTATTATATTTATAGAACATTACTGATAGTTTCTTTTTCCTCCTTTAGTGGTTGACAATCATATGAATGGATTAATAGGTGAGAGTGATTGGAAACCAAGACTTGGCATGAAATTTGTTTGGTAAGAATCTGCATATAATTTTTGTAATGAGTTCCAAAGACAATATGAAAACTCAGTATTTCCTTAGCATGCAAAATTTCTCTAAGAATCTTTATTGCATGGCTACATAAAACACTCTTCTTTTCATATTTTCTACAACTACATGATACAAAGTCGATTGTTAAATTTAGAATAGGAGAGAGAGGGAGGATTCTTTTCTTGGAAAAGATAAGGAAGAGATAGCGACTTTAAACATTGTTAAAGTATGATAATTTTTTTTAAAATTAAAACGATACAGTTTTTAAACTTTGGTAAATTTTTCTTATTTCAAAATCGTACAATTTTTAAACTTTCTTTAAATTAGTTGACGTAATTTAACACCAACAGTAGATAGATTTTAAATGTCCATGTAGTTGGATCTGTTAAGTTAAATATTCTGTAAGTTATTCTAGGTTGAATTCGCCACATAATATTTAAAATTTATCTACTACTGGTATTAAAACACATCAACTAATTTAAAAAAAGTTTGAAAACTGCACCGTTTTGAGATAAGAAAAATTTACCAAAGTTTAAATTTAACGTGTTTTGAATTAAAGAAAATTCACCATATTCTAACTACGTTTAACCATACTCTAACTACATTTAATGTCGTTATCTTTCTCTCATCTTTTTCAAAAAAAAATCTGCCCTCTCCCTCCTACTCTAACTCTAACGACTTTGTATATAATGTGAAATGACAAAATGGCTAAATTTGGTTTTCATATTTACTTTTCGTCAAAAAATGATTGAGGGTGGGGGTTTATTTGCACCTTTTTTTGAAAAACAAGAACTGACATGTTTTATTTTTTGAAAATTAAGAGTTGATAGCGCACAAAATCTATAGTGTAGGGTGGTTTTTTTCACTTAACTCTAGGAGTCTAGATTATACTACCAATTTTTTTTAGACATATTTATTATTATTTTTTTTTTTAATCATGCCAAGAAAAACAGCCATGTCATATGGCATTTACAAACGTAATCTTAAACACCGTATAAAGACAAACAAATCAAGAAACAATACAATAAAAACTGAAGAAACAGGCCTCCGATTTGTTGAGAAACAAGCTAAAAAATACCAGCAAATCACCTAGGGAGAAGAGCAGCAACGGGAGTGAGCTAAAGGTCAAGCCATCATCAAGACAACAGCTCCAAGATTGCATCCACAAGGTGCCGCCAACTGGGAAAAAAATTATCCAAACCCCGCACAAAAAGGCAGGGACACCAAAACCTGACATAGATTAGGGATTTAGCCGGAGACAAAACATCAGATCCACCCTATTAAGCCAAAAGCAAGCCAAACTAAGAGCAGATCTAACAAAACAACATCAAAACGGCGTAAAACCACCCACCGAACGAAACCATGTACACCACGCCGAGTTTTTTTATTGGTGGAAGATAAGGATCGGCCCCTCCTCACTCCCATGGGAGGGAATGGGGAGCAGAAAAGAGAAGACAACTGGGAGGGAAGTTTAGATTCAAGTCAAACCTTGTTGGATTTAGGATAGCTCGAAATTGTAAAATATATTTCTTTCTTTTTTCCCCTTTTTTTTTTTCCTTACAAATTTTGTGAAGGACACCAGTGGGTTCAAATCTCTAGACTCCCAGCACTCTCAATTATGATTAGTGGCATTAACAATAATATGATTAAAAAAAAAAATTAACCAATAAATAGTAAACTTGGTAATAGTAATTTAATTTATTTTTTCAAGTCCATCTCTTCTAGATTCAGCGAGAAGAAAATTATGAGCATCATTTCCCCTTTTGGTATAGTAACTGATGACTCAGATGGTATAAAGAGAGAGGACATTTCACATTTCTTTGGCTTACTAGGAGCAAACGCCCCTTCCTACTAAGGACTAGCTCAGTTAGACCTTTCATAGGGTAATTGATTGATCGTCCAAGAACTTTAAAAAACTCCACCAGCTACATTCCCCTATATTTTTTGCGATTCTGGAAACAAAAAATAGACACAGTTGAATTGCACACATCCAGTCTACACTAGGGTATCACCATGCTTGTGTCTCTGAGCCTGTGGGTTGTTCTTTGGTGGACAGATTCAGTTCATCTGCAGGTTGTGGAACATAATGAATTTCATATCACCGCAGTACTCCATCCTTCCCATAAACCACCATGGACACTAACTATCATCTATGAGCCACCATGCATGGACACTAATTAACTATCATCTATGAAAGCACAGTAGATACCATTAGAGCATCCCAATGGAAATATTTGGAACAAATGTCTCATTATTGGTGATGAACCAAGAGGGGGAGGTGGTGAATTGGTTCTTCCAACTTATTAAGTATTTAAACTCTTTTCTTAATCAAGATAATCACTACAACACGTAAGGAGTGCTCACAGATATCACTAGGGTTTTGAAACCCTAATCTGTCACAAGTGTTTAATACAAAACCACAGCCACAAGTACACCAAAGAACAACTAATAGGCATCTATCAGCACGATAGAGAAGGGGAAGCTAGCAATCCACTGTTGAATCCTGTGGAGTAGTTTCTTGTTATTTATTCTATCCTTTATCTTCTATTTTCCTTTACTTTTCTCTATTACAAGCCCTAATTTTTCTTCTTTCAAAGCAAAAATTATTTCAGATTTTTCTTATTTTCTTCTCCTCCCTATCTCTTTCTTTTTCCTGATTATGGAGATTTTGGTTCTTTGTAAGAGAACCCGCGGTTTCAATCCTCTTTTTTTTTATCCTAATTTTGATCTGCTTTGTTTTACCTTTACATGGAAGATGGTG